TTGTTTTAGTTAAATTAATCAATAAATTTAACTAAAACAAAGTATACGTTTTTCCATCGCTTTCATAAACGCGATAAAATCCCCTTAAAACTTCCAATACTTTGTATTGGTAGTTTATAGTAATTGGTAGTCAATAGTTTGTATTGGTAGCTATAAGAAGAGAACACTCGTTAAAATTTCTAGGCGTACTCTTTGACGAAAACTTAACTTGGTAAGATCATATACATTATTTTGAAGGTAAAATCTTAAGAAATATAGGATTATTTAAGGCGAGGCCTTTTTTAAATCAAACTTGTTTAAAACTGTTATATTTCTCCTTTATTCATTGTTATCTGAATTACGCAGACATAGCTTGTTTCTGAATTACGTAAACAAATATTGTAGCACAAATCAAAATAAAATTAAAAAACTCTTTAATAAGCAAAAACGTGCTATCAGAGTATTATCTTATGTAGACCGTTTTACACATGTAAATAACTATTTATAAAGCTAAATATACTCACCGTCTACCAAATAAACATTTATCATCTTTTAATTTTTATGTTAAAAGTTAATTCAAAAATAATACTTAACATTTTAAATTTGTTAATCATTATAAATAAGCATAGATACTTAACCAGATACTCAAACAACACTTATATTCAGCCTAAAAGTTTTTTTGCAGCAACGGAGTTTTCAATATCTATTTGAGGGCCAAAAGTATGGAATAAGTTTATATCTAATAAACTTAAAACTCACGAAACTCTTAACGAATTCAAAGCAAAATTGGAACAAATGCTTCCGGTTAGTGACGGAGTACATGACTTCTTCTAAAGTTATCTGGTAGTACAAATAAGCTTTTTCAATTTATTTTAAAGTTTATCTTTCCAACCTATTGTCACTTTGGGGGAATCATAACTTTTATATTTAAATAAATAAATATATATATATATATATATATATATATATATATATATATATATATATATATATATATATATATATATATATATATATATATATATATATATATATATATATATATATATATATATATATATATATATATATATTTATATACATTTTAATGGAGAGATTCAGGTCCTTATTAACTTTACTTTTGATTAATATTATTAATTAGTATTTAATCTTAATTAATTAACATCTTTTTATTTATTCTTATTTTAAAAGAGCTAAACCAACATTTTATTTTTTCTAATTTGTAACTTTTTATTTGATTTTTTCAAAAGAATAATATAAATTTTTTCACAAGTTATATATTGCAAAATTTTATTTTTTTATATTTACTTCTCTTGTTATATATTTCTACTATTTTTATATATTTTTTACCAGAAAATCTAAGTTGTAAGAAGTACAATGATAGGGGGATCCTGATGATAAAGAAGAATGAGATAGTAGTTTTAGAGAGATCAAACAGTGATTAAAAACACCTAATGATGAATGTGGAGAAACTGAGCACCGACTAGAATCAGAAACAAGACATAAGTTGAGTAGAGAAGAATAATGGTTTGGATTGTCTGGAAAGTGAGTTGGAAATATGACTATTTGTGTTAGTAATTGAGAAAGGCAAAAGTTGTGGGCCTTAACGCCGGCAGAGTCACTGACAATAGAGACAAGCCATTCAGTATGTTGAGTATAGAAGTTACTAACAACAACGATATTGGCCGAAAGATAAAGAGGGAATGGTTAATTTGATCAGAAATAACATCGAAAAGAGTGCAGTCTTAAGATGAAGGAGAGCAATATAAAACAAAGGGAAAGGTGATAGAATAAAGTTAAATGAAAGCACATAAATTAATATTTTGTAGATACAAATCTAGTTTCCCAACAAATGGGTAAATTCTAACAAATGTAGATGCCCGGGTTAAGCATGCAATTATTGGAGTCTTTACAAATTAAAGGAAGATAACCATCAACACTAAGATTACAAGATGAGACTGCTGAACACAAATTAATCTACAAAGAGCAAGTAGGTCTGGCGAACTTTGCAAAAGATAAAACTCAACTGAAAAAAAGTTACTTTTTAGATCACAAATATTAGTGAATGATAGATTTAGAAAACTTGGTGATGACGATGGCTTTTTTTGTTTTATATTTTTACTTAAAGCACAGATAGTACTCAATACACTATTTAACAGTCCAAGCAATAGTCTCGTTACTAATAATAAACAATAACAAAGGGCTCCAAAAAACTCTAAAAACAGGACACCATCCACGCGCAACATGGCACTGTTAGTACTTTGATACTTTACAGCTGTTGATGGAATCAGTCTCTCTGAGAGCTACCTCAAAGTTCGGGAAATCTGACTACCAGCCGGCTTTAAAACCCTAAAACTGAGTTTTAGAGTTGTACTCTCGTTAGGAGATAGTAGAATGAGTTGCCTTCTTTATAAAAACACAACGAGAGACACAAGCGAAACACATGCATTGAGTCAAGAAGATCCAGCATTTAATATCTGATATTTTTCATGTTATTTTTCTTATTGATATCAAATATATCAATAAAGGAAATAACATGCAAAGAAACCATTTAAAAAAAAAAAAAGAAGAATCAAGATGAAGAACGCGGATACTCAAAGAAGACCATACAGGTCTTATCACCGAGAACCGCAATTGAAGAACTTTGAATTTAATTTAGATTTTAGAAAAAACAAAAATAAATAAATACAAGTTTTAAACTTTTCTTTAGTTATGGTGTTTATGGCTTTAATTAAATTATTAATTCTTCTGAACCGCATGACTTAAGCGAAAACCATAATATCATAATATTCTTGATAAACAAATACGTCTCGCATCTTACTCGCATCTATAAGATCACTGAATCTTGTTACTCAAATGTATCTTACAATTACACTAATCTTAATTGTTAATTAATTAATAAATATAAACATGAAAAAAAAAGGACATAAAGCAGATTGTACTGGATTACATGTTACCAGTAGCAACAGCAGGATGATTTTTTTTTTGCCGTGTAATATTATTTACAAAATAATTTATTATATAATACGAGCAGGATTTCAAGAAATTATAATGACCTTTGATTAAAACATACTTTAAGTAGTGTACATGCATCAAAATTAAAACTCATCATAAAATATAACAAATCATATAAATATAAATATATAACTTAAATATCCATAAAAATCAATAGTTTTAAATGGCTTTTATAGGGCCGAAATTATTTCCCTATTAAACGCTATGTATCTATGCATGTGTATTTGAACACAAAAAAATAGTTAAAAGCAGATGCAATGTCAGAATCTAATGTAGCCTTCTTTAGCATTGTAAGATGTTTGGGCACGTTTAGTTAAAAAATCAAACTTCACGCACAATTTTCATAAACTGTTTAATTCAACCTATAGGAGTATTGCAATTTATGCATTTGTTTTAATTGTTTCTGATACTTAATGTGCTCTGCATTATTCTATTTTTCTTTTCTTTAAGTAAGTTTTTATTGTCTTAGTGCATGGATTATTAGCAGTCTTCGCTGAACCAGAATTTAGTGAAGTCACCAGACAAGAATTAGATTTTTATTTTATCAAATTTAATAATAATAAATATTTTAATGGTTTTACCTAATAATTTTTAATTTAATTAATGTATTTATATACTTTATTAAAATAATAATTGTACCTCGTTTTGCTTTCTAAACTAAAACAGGTTTGTACTTTGACAAAAAAATGTATTACTTTATAACAAAATGATGTCCTTAAATCAGTTAATATGATTAATGGTTCTTTGATCATTTAGTTTTAGCAATAGTTAAATTTTTATTTTACAACATCTTTGACAAACGCATTTTCTGTTTTTTACAGTTGAAAAAGCAACCTTAATAGCATAAATATTAAATTGCTTAAAAAATTTTTTTTGATGTAAATAAGAAAATAGGTGAAGAAAACGTTAAAAAAAAGAGAATGATTTATTACAAATGTGACAGATGGACTTTATAAATCAACGCTGTATAATGTTGTATATATTGCAGTTGATTATTTTAAATCAAACAAACATGCTAAGTAGATTTTTGTTTCTTGCAATAGAAAAAAATATCTGAAAAGTATCTTTAAAAAGAATAATTAATAAGAAAATAAAATTTATAAAAAGCAACGTTTTTTCTGATTTATATGTAAAAAATCTCGGTTTTTGATATGAATTTTATAAGTCTGTGCTGTTTAAGATAATTATGTTAAGCCTTTGTTTTATTTGGCATTTCAGTATAGTTTCATATTTATATTTTGAAAATTATATATATGTGTGTGTGGGTGTGTGTGAGTGTGGGTGTGTGTGTACATATAATTTGTTAAGTGATTTTTTACTAGTTTATATGTATAAATATATATATATATATATATATATATATATATATATATATATATATATATATATATATATATATACATATATATATATATATATATATATATATATATATATATATATATATATATATATATATATATATATATATATATATATATATATTATATATATATATATATATATATGTATATGTATATATATATGTATATGTATATATATATATATATATACATATATATATATATATATATATATATATATATATATATATATATATATATATATATATATATATATATATACTATATATATACTATATATATATATATATATATATATATTATATATATATATATATATATATATATATATATATATATATATATATATATATATATATATATTTATATATATATATATATTTATATATATATATATATATATATATATATATATATATATATATATATATTATATATATATATATATATGTATATATATATATATAATATATATATATATATATATATATATATATATATATATATATATATATATATATATATATATATATATATATATATATATATGTATATATATATATATTTATATATACTATATATACATTCTTGTTTCTGATTGCTACATAATAAATATTATTTTTAAACAATTAATACATTAAGTTATTGGTATAACTATCGACTGTCATATTCGATTGCTGTCGTATTTCAAATGTCATCAAGATGTAAACGTTTTTTGATATTCGAAACATTATTATTGTTTATACCACTTATACCACCATTGACAGGATATAGTGGATGCACTGAAAAATTTATTGAATTTAACGATATAGATAACGCATCTGTGATAATAGGTGGCTTGTTTCCGGTCCATTATTGGCATCAAAACTATAAAAAGTATGTTTTAAATAAACCGGGACTCTTATGGGTTGAGGCAATGATATTTGCAATTGATGAAATTAACAAAAGCAGTTTTTTAAAAAACAAGAAAATTGGTTATCGCATACGTGACAGTTGCAATAATATTAAAATCGCTATTAAATCAGCCTTAGAAATTACGCAGAGTTTTCACCAATATCAAACAGTTGTCAACAATAGCATATGTCAATGCAATTTACGTTATAAAAAAGCTATAGCTTTAGTAGGCGATGCAGCATCTGATACTTCAACAAATGTAGCAGCTATTTTATCTTCAACAGGAACAACTCAGATAAGTTATTCAGCTACATCTACTGATCTTAATGCAAAGTTGTATCGCTCATTTTTACGAACTATATTACCTGACAACATTCAGGCTGCACTTATAACAGATTTAATGGTCTACAACAACTGGACGTTTGTCAATGTTATAGCATGCGACGACGACTATGGTAGAGTCGGATTTAGCGAACTATTACCAAGATTGCAGGAAAAAGGAGTCTGCACGGCTGTTGCAGAGATTTGCGATGTAAAAGGTGATTCTAATACAGACCAAATAAAAACACTTATTAAAAAACTTTTTCTAGAAAAAAAAGCAAATGTTATTGTTCTTTGGTGTCAACGGCCAGAAGCTGTTCGATTTTTAAAAATTGCTGCCGAACTAAATTTATATAACAAAACGTGGATAGCTACTGAAACATATGGTTTTAGTAATGAAGTTTATGATATTAATCCAAACGTTGTAAAAGGAATGCTTGGAATAATCCCTTTGCAAGTTTTTTATGAACCGTTTGAAACCAAACTAAAATCTATGAGCCCTAACTTGATATACAAAAATCCATGGATTCATGAGTATTGGAAAGAAAAAAATTGTGAAACTAGTAACAAAGCTAACTGCTCAAATCTTAGTTTATTTGATCTACCGAAAAGCAAGTATGCAGAAGTTATACATGCAGTTCAGTCAATTGCTAGAGGGTTAAATTCTTACATTAAATTAGAAAATCCATCAGAGTTTAATCCTCAAAGACTTCTTTCATATGTAAAGAACGCAAGTTTTATTGGTATAAACAACTTATTAATATCTTATGATGACCAAGGAAATCCCAAAGCTGCGGGTTACTCAATAACTAATTTGAAAACAGATAATAATAACAGACTTTTCTGGGATGTTATAGCAATTTGGGATTTTTTATCAAGAAAAATAACGTTTAATTCAGGAAAACAAATTACATATCCACGTGATTCGGTAAATTCGCTACAATCGTCTTGCAAAGAAAAATGCAAACCAGGTTATTTTGCACTTTTATTTGAAAGTTTATGTTGTTGGGAATGTGTAAGATGCCCAAAGGACAGTATACAGCCAAATTTTGGACAATTTAATTGTACTCGCTGTACTGGAAGCAAAATACCGAACGCCATTGGAACAAAATGTGTTTTACCAAAGAAAGTATTTATTTTTGCTGATAGCAAAGAAGGTGTTATAATAATAAACTTTTCTACATTTGGATGTGTGTTAGTCATATTTGTTGTTTTTACATTTTACAGGTACAAAGAAACCCCTATTGTAAAGGCTTCAAACATAAATCTATCGTTAACGCAGCTTATAAGTATTTTGTTTACGTTAATGTTACCCTCTTTTTGTGTTCAAAAAGAAATCACTAAACAAATATGCTTTAGTCAACTGCTTTACTTTGCTTGCTTCAATACAATTACAGTTTCGGTGACTTTTATAAAAGCTGACTTTCTTTTAAGAGTTTTTTCTAAAAGAAGATCTATTCGTTATAAAAGTAAAACCAATGCACACAGTACACAGTATTATGTACGAATAATTGTTAGAGAATTTATGCCGGTTGCAATTTTAACCTTTATAAGTGTTACGCTTTGTATTATTTCTTTGTTTTCTTTTCCGATCGAAGTTAATAGCGTAGTGACAATACAAGGAGATGATAACATACAAACTACATCATACTGCGACGGATACTATAACTCAATTTTGTTTTTAATGATAACATTTGTTGTACTAATTGCATTTGTTTGTGGAGTATACGCATTTAAAGCACGTAATATGCCTGATACACACAACGAAGCGCAATTAACTTGTTTAGCAACATTTTTATATGTGATATCATGGTTGATATTTGTTCCGTTATATCTTAGTACAAGCAATCAACAACAAAAACTGGTTGTTTGGTGTTTTATGTCAAATACATCCACAATATGTCTCTTTCTTGTCGTGTACTCCCCTAAAATATACTTTATCTTTTTTAGAGCAAGAGAAAATACAGGAGTAAGCTTTAGAGCTAAAATCACACATTTTATGTTTACCAATTTGGCATTTGAGCCGTAAAAAATTTTTAGAAATCTTTTGAAATTTTCACAGTATAAAGAACAAGTGAAATAAAATTAATAGAAAATAAATAACTTAAAAATGTAAACTTAAATTTATTGAATCTATTTTTCTGCATGGAAATGCTTGTTTGAAGGGTTTGCTTTTAAAATGAGTTACTTCTGTTAAACTAAAATTGTACCTCACACTATCAACCCTCATACCCTTGGTACCATCAATCCTAGTACACTTATTTATGATTAATTTAAACATTCCCTTGAATTATAAAAAATTCATAGAACTCGAACATGTTAAGCTTTTTTACTAATTCAATGATTTAAAGATTTGCTAAAGTGTTGTTGCTAACTTTTCTGCACAGCGTAGAACGTAAGCTAAAAAAAGAAGTTCCTATTCTCTAAAATTTTTCACAGCTCATTTAGAATTAAAGTAAAAGATGCTACCAGCTACCAGAGCTTTCAGTTAAAACATTTCCATAAACTAGGAAATCTAAATTGCACGAATCTACAACTACCATACGTTGGTAAAATTACAATGTTCCGAGTTACGTTGGCACAACATCGGTCACGATTTATCATTTTGGTTTCATTATATAGGTATATCATTTTGGTTGCAAATGCGGTTTTGTATTTTAAGTTGGCGAAGTGTAATATTTTACGTTATATTTTTTAAGCCTGTTAACTCTAAAAGTATTTTTTTTTTGACTGAAAGAATTATTTTCTAATTTTTAAGGCCGATTTTTACTGATTTTCACTTTAAGGCCAATTTTCACTCATTTTTTGTTTGTTTTGAGATGTAAAGATATTGTTAACAGCAAAAAAAAAAAAAAAAAAAGGAGGGGGAAAGGAGGGGGAAGAGAAGGGGGTCTTATTAAGGTTGGGGTGGGTGGTAAAATTTTCCGAAAATCATTAAACGTTCCCCCTCCTTTTATAAAAGACTTGAGAATAGAGGCCACATACCTAGGCCAGCAAATATAGGTTCATCTCACTAAAGAACATCATCACCCACTTTCCTGACCAAAAATATGCAAGTTTAAGAAGAACGAAGTACGTTAGAGTCAGAAGAAGCCGAGTTAGAAAGATAGCATAGAGAAAGCGTAAAGATATAGCACTGGATGATAAAATTTATTTTTAGAAATTTTAAAAAGTAGTAAAGATGTAAAGTTTTTGTAAAAACAAATCATTAAATGAGTACACTTGCTAAAACAGTAAATCTGTTTTCAAATAAACTGCAATTTATCTGCCGTAGTGCACTCTGGACTTTTTTAAAGGATAATTTAAAAAAATTGCACTAATCTTATAGTAAATTCTGAATTGAAATCAACTGTTGTGTTACAAAAATCTGAATTGAAATTAACTGTCGTGGGTCAAAAAATATTTTTATAAACATAGAGGTTTTAAAAATGCAGCAAAAGTGCTCCTGTTGCCAAAACTTTATATAAAACTAATGGTTAATATGAGCACTATAAATATAAAGAAGAAAAATACCCAAAAATAATAAGCAAAAACAAGGAAACTAGTATTAGTAGTACCTGAGGAATATCTGGATTAAAAAAAAATCATCTGCAAAAAAAAAAAGGAATTAATTTAATATCTTATGATATAACATAATATCTTTATAAACATAAATTTAAAAAGTAAAACTTTAGTTGCTGTTACATAGCAGCAGTTTTTCATAACATAATAACATAAAATTTTTATTGACATAACAAAAGATAAGCATAAAATACAAAACTTAAGATGTTTTATAACAAGTACTTGTTTAAAAACACAACATAGAAATTCTCTTTCTATACATATAAATGTTAAGTTTAACATTTTATATGTAGCTATAACGTAAAAAGACATATTTCAGTTTTTGTTTTCCAGTAAATTTTTAACAGCGCCAACTCCTGTTTTGACTGCATTGGTTCCATGGAAATTCAGACTTATTGTAAAAAGTTTTAAATATCATGCAAAATGATTTATATAGAGCCGACGACACGGGTTTTGAAGTGTATATATGTGTGTGTGTGTGTGTGTGGGGGGGGGGGGGTCACAATCATCAATTTGTAAAAAAAGTCCTCTATATCAAAGTAAAAAAAAAAGGGGCTTTAGAAAAAAAAGTGGGGGGGGGGGGGCACAGCCCTTGGGCTCCTCCCCCCGGTGTCGTCGGCCCTGTTATCCATGCTTTTATTTTTATATAAATCATTATTAGTTAAAACAGCCAATTAGTTAATAGAAACCAAGCTAAATTTAGCTTGGTTTCTATTCTCTCTTCTACTCTCTTTATAAAGAGAGTAAGCCAATAAAAACCAAATAAATAGTAAAAAATTACTTAATAGTGATATTAATATAAGCAATGTTTATATAGCATTTTTCTTTAGTAAACATAAGCTGCTATAAATGAAACATTCAAAATATTTACAAATTTTTACTGTGTATACTTAATTTCGTTGATGTTTTTTATTGAAATCCTTTTTTGTTTCAGTATTTTAAAGTAAAGATTTATATGGTAAACTGGTAACTAGTAGCATATTAAAAAAATTTTCTTTTTTTTTGATGTTTTATTTCAGGTTCATCAGGCAACTAAACAAATGCTTCAATCAATTTTATATTTAACTATTCGTATATAAGGAATTTGTTAAATAAGTTGATCCAGTTGTTTGTTGATCTTCCCTGTTACGTTCTGATGCTAATTGAAATACAATTAGTTTTGGTTTTGCTTTAGACTTGTTTTATTCAACAGGCATGCTTTGTGCTACCTAATATGTTTGCTTTTAAAAGTACTTTGTTCTTGATTTGTCACTTTAACTACTTTTTTATGTGTGAAGATGATGTGATTAAAATGATAAAATCCTGATTAACAATATCCATGTTTAGTTTTACACTCTAAAGTGGCTTTACCATAAGCAATGCTGAACAGATTTCCAAATTTAACCATTGTTACTAGTCTAACATGTTGCTGGCAATCCTATGTCTGCACATATGAGTTGTGTCGTGAGCTTAGTAATTTAAAAAATAAGATATTTAGCATTTTATCGGTACAATGACTTGGGAGGTTAAATACAACTACATTGTTTTTACATGTTTTTAATATCTTTACTACTTTTAATATTCTTTACTTGACAGTTATGATCAACTAATATTGGTAAAGTTGGTGTATTGTAGTTTTATGCATGTTTAAATTGTAAGAAGTAATTAAAGCATATAACGAACAGCTTTTCATTTATCTAACCATTTTTTGTTGCAACTCTAAGTACTCCTTAGGTTGCTTTGTCCATAAAAAATGGCTTCATGCATAAACGTAATCAAAAAATCGTGGGAGGTACATATGCTCTGACAGAGCTTACATTGCAACTTTTTTCTCCTAAGACTTGCTATTCTGCTTCTTTCTCTTCGAGCAACAATTTTGCTAGTAGTATGAACAATTGAGGAATTAATTTCATTTGCATTGAAGAAGCAACCAAGAAGCAATCCCCAAGAAGGATTATAATTTAATCAAACTGATCAAATGCAACTAACTTTTAAGCATCAAACCCTTTATTAAACCCAGATGAACCTGTCGTGAAAAATGGTTCTGGTTTTCCTTTGAAAAAGTTAGAGGTAGATTAAAAAATGAACGTATCCAATTTCCTATGGCATGTTTTCTATTTTTGTTTAATGTATTTAACAATATGCTAAACGCATTTAATGCGTTAAATAGGTCCAGGTCAGGTCAGGATAATCGAGATCAATCTTGCTACTGGTATCACGTAACCCAGTACCACCTGCCTCAAGCCCTGCTGCCTTGCAGAGTGTGCTCTTCTTATGCAAAGGCTAGGAGAAATAAACTCCGACTAAAAATTCCCCTGCCTTGGGGCTCTTGGTTGAGTAAAGGCTAGAGATAAAAATACTCATCTTGGGCAGATGTTAACTGCATCCTGCTACTGTCTTGTAGAAGGCCTCCTAGGCAAAGACTTTAGGGGTAAGCAGAAAAATTCTGCTAACCAGCCTCGAACCCCTTCTTCATCTATTAGGCTGGCGTAGATGTAACCTGTGTTACATTGTTTCCTGCCTAGGATGATGAATGCTGGATCTCCTTGACTCTACTCATAGAATTTTGCTTACGCCTCTATGATAATGGCTATGCAACTCTTCCTGTTATCTCCTCATATGGAGATAACTCTTCCTGTTATCTCCATATGAGGGTACAGCTCTAAAACTCAGTTTAATGGTTCTGAGGCCGGCTGGTAGTAAGGTTTCCCGAACTCTGTGGTAGCTCTCAGAGAGGCTGATTCCATCAACAGCTGCAAAATATCAGAGTATTAACAGTGCCATGTTGCGCATGGATGGTGTCCCTGTTATTGCTTTTGGTGTGCATTGTCAAGGCCACATAAGGAGCCCTATGTCACGACTTAGGGTTAATTAACAGGACTGAGACAACTGCATAGCTCATTGATTAGGAGGCTGTGCTCTATCTATGAATGAGTCAAGTTCTCATTAAACCCAAATCATGACCAAAGTAACCAAAAATTTAAAACCTAAAAAAAAATCCCCACCACCTAAATATTTTAATATATCTTTTACAAATATTCGCGGTCTACGAAGCAACTTTCCAGACCTGCTTGCACTCAGTTAAACAAATTTAAGTTCTGCAATTCCTTCTTCAGATGTCAGTGTTGATGGGTACTATCCTTTGATTCGTAAAGACTCCAATAGTCACATGCTAGGTTTAGGGGTATACATACGCATTAATTCCCCTATTTGTCGTGAAATCAGGTTCGAATCCTTTGACCATTCTTTTATGTGCTTTTGCCTAGCACCTCTTCACTCTATCACCTTTCTCTTTGTTCTTTGTCGTTCTCCTTCTTCCCATGATTGCACTCTTTTAGATGTTATCTCTGATCAAATTGACCATGCCCTCTCTCTTTACCCCTCCGCCAATATTGTTGTTGTTGGTGATTTTAATGCCCATCACACTGAATGGCTTGGCTCTAACACCACTGATCCTGCTGGCACTAAAGCCTTTAACTTCTGCGTTTCTCAATCTCTTACTCAGATAGTTAACATTGTGACTCGTTTTCCTGACAACCCTAATCATTTACCTTCACTCCTTGACTTATGTCTTGTCTCTGACCCTAGCTTATGTTCAGTTTCTCCCTTTTCTCCCTTAGGTGGTTCTGACCATGCAATGATCTCTATAAATCTTTCTTCTCGTACTTCTTTTTTGGGCTCACCTTATCATCGCACCACCTACTACTACCCTAAAGCTGACTGGGATTCCTTTCGTGATTTTCTTCGTGATGGTCCTTGGGCTGATGTTTTTTCTCTCTCAGCTGACAAATGTGCCTCCTACGTAACCTCCTGCATTCAGGCTGGAATGGAAGCTTTTATTCCTTCTCGTCGGTTTCAAGTCAAGCCTCATTCTACTCCATGGCCTCATTCATTCTCCTTCTTGTGCGGCTGCTATATCCAATCGTAACCATTTTTTTCATCTTTTTCAAAAGAACAACTCTCTTGAGAACAAACAGCTATTTATTATTGCAAGAAATCGATGTAAAAAGGTGCTTTCTGATGCTAAACTCCATTATTCTCAGTTCACTAAATCTCGCTTTTATCGCAGAAGTTAGGCTCTAAAGACTTTTGGAAAATCTTCAACAGCATTGTTAACAAGGGTATATCTAACATTCCATCTCTCATTCATGGGACTGATCTTGTTACCTCTCCCA